TTGTGTATTTACAAAATGGTTTTGTGTTTTACTGACTTTTTGTATGTTTGTTAAACTTGTTTCGGTGTGTGTGTGTGTGTGCATGTGTATTTCTTTGATAAGTGAGAGATAACTGGACAGAAAAGGAGAAACTAAAGAATGTCAGTTTCTGTGTGGGGGTGGTGGTATGTGTGTGTATTTCTCCTCTGGTGACTTCCATGCCATCTGGCTTTCTGAGAAAACATACTGAAGAGAATACATTTTTTACTCAATTACCTTAAAACAGAAGATAGTGGCAATTAGGAATTATGCATGCAAATTTAGAAAAGATGTACAGTAACCCTTCCTTATCTACAGGGTATGTGTTCTAAGAACCCCAATGAATGGCTGAAACCATGCAGAGTACCTATATATTGTGTATTTTTCTATACACACACACCTATGATAAAGTTAAATTTATACATCAGATACAGTAAGAGATTAACAACAATAATAATCAAACAGAAGAGTTATTACAATATAATAAAAGTTAGATAAATGTGGTCTCTCTCAAAATATCTTACTGTACTGATACTCACCTTTTTCCTTCATAGGATAATGTGAAGTGATAAAATGTCTCCTTGATGAGATAAAACAAGGTGAATGACATAGGCATTCTGACATAGCATTAGGTTGCTATTGACTCCTGGCAACGCATCCAAAGGAGGATCATCTGCTTGGGTGATTCTGGATTATCCGGCCATGATATTGTTGATTGCTGGATGTCATGAGCAGAGGATGATGACAGCTAAAAAGCAGGTAACTTATCCAGCATGGATGTGTTGGACAAAGGGAGAATCATGCCCTGGGCAGGAGAGGCAGAACAATGCAAGATTTGTATTATGCTACTCAGAATGGCATGCAATTTAAAACATGACTTGTTCATTTCTGGAATGTTCTATTCAATATTTTCAGACTGCTGTTGACCACTGATAACTGAAATCACAGAAAGTAAAATTGCAGGAAAGGGGGGACTACTGTATAAAGAGGTTACATTACAATTTCTGAAGAACAGTTCTCCTGCTTAGCATTAATATGCATTTAGAAATATCTTTTAAAACATGTAAAACTAGGGTTAACTTAGTTGAAGAGATTGAGAGATAAAGGGTAATAGAGTACATCGTGTAATAGAGTAAATAAAGGAAAATGGTGTATCTCTTAAAGCCACAAGAATGAATTTTAAATCGCATATTAAATTGCTAAATAATCGCCTTTTCTTTTTGTACAGTTTTTCATGACAGTCAGCTGTTGTTGAGGATTATAGTTTGTTGCATTAACCTGGATGTATTCAATCATTTGAGAGGTGAAATGATCTCTGATCACCACTTTGAAAACTCAGTGGTGGATCTGCCTTAGTGTAAGGCGTGAATTGACCTCAGCAGTGCAGGGTTTGGACCCTATCTGGTACCTCTGCTGTCCTGCTTTACATCTGCTTGGCCTCACCCTTTGATTCTAGCCTCATACTATAAACATTTTACACAATCACGTTCTTTCAACTTTCACTCTTTGTCCTGGGATTTCCCCATGGAGTGAATACCAATAGGACACCTCTTGAAAGGAAGTGAGTTAATGTCCTGGGGATAGCCCTCAGCCAATGATAGAAAAAGGCCATGTAAAACAGGCTTCTCCCTGTCTGTCCTTATATGGATAATGCTCAGGGTCATTCTATGTCCTCTTCAGAAAATCCTTGGCCTGGTTGTTTTGACCCTAAATTCACCCTTACACTAATATTTCTTTTCTGTTTTACTATCCTCTGTTCTTCACTCCTGTTCCCATGGAGAAACTTCCAAAGAAATCTAATATGTATACAAGTTTGCAAACAAGATCCTGCTACTTGGAAAACCTCAACCGCCTCCCCCATAACACACACACATAGACCACACCACACACACACACACACCCCATATCCACCCATTAAAAGAAGAAATTCATTCAATGATTATTTTCTTACCATTTATGCGGCCCCTTAATATATGTTTCTTCTTTTATTTCTTTCTATTCTTAAACATCTAATGTAGATGTGTCTATTCTGTTTCACATTTTAAAATTGAAACACATTGTATTTATTTTACTATGTGTTCATGGATGATGAAAATATAAAAATAAAGTCTACGTGTTACCAAAACAACCAATCAGACAAGTTAGTTGCATTAAAATACTTCCTTGGTTCTATGATAATAAAAATGATAGTGGAACACTTTTTTTTTTTTTAAGAATAAAGGCCTTCCCTTTTTTTTTTATATCATCACCAATGCCTAGTACCATGCTAAGCACAGAATAAGAAGGTATTTAGAGCTTACTCCGTCTTAGGTGCTTCATAGGTAATATTATTTTAAAAATTCCTCACAGTTTTTTCTGATGTGGGTACTATTTTTATTCCTCTCATCTTCTTTGTACATCTGAGGTACAGAGAGGCAAGGCACTTGCCCACATTTATACATGTTGTGACTATGTGTTGAAGGAGTTGGCTATGATTGTCACTATGTAATATGTCATTACGACATAATAATTTGAGAAGACTTGTCTACAATTAGAGTAGATACAATTTAGGTATTTAAGAGTGATTGCTCACTGAGTATGATTTTTCTTGTATCAGCCAGATTAAGCCAGGGATAATGTTTCCCAGAAATCCTTTGTATTTATGCTTCTAGTTTAGAGTTGGCTAAACAGAAACTTTTTTATGAGATTTGTAAGGTATAATTAAGGGAAATCACTGCTCTCAGAAAGTTGTCGCAGATGCAGTGATCAATGAAAGAAATGCCAGTGAGTTGCAGGTTCTTTACACTCACTTAAACTCCCTTTATGCCCAGCTCTTTTCCTCAACAACCCTTCTCACTCACCAGCAATAGCCTAAGCCCCATAATCAGATGGATAATTGTAGCCTAAAGAACTCCCCTTCATAGGTCCACTGTGGTTGCTGGTCATGTTTCATTTCTCAGTCAACTGGCTGGTGATGACTCTTATTATGTAACTCCCCCTTTCGAGTTTTCATTTCCCTGGCTCTTCCCACAATTTAATAAAATCTAATTCCTATAATAAATCTCCTATCATATTACTCACAGTGGTTCTGCTTCTCTGACTTAACTTAGTAAAACGCCTGTCAAAGTAGACTGTGTATGTCTCCATATACTATCTTAATCACTATACTACAAAGCTCTAGTACAATGTAGATACAGAGATGCTTAAAACAATATAGCTATTATTGATATTTTATATTGCATATACATAATTTCAGGTTTGTATATATATCAATGTAGGCAGAGCAACCTAAATGGAGAAATGAGACATGAGTAAGCCCTGCATCTACCCAGGATTCAATTAATTTGTGGAGCAGCCTTGGATTAACTGAAAAGCCTTAGAATTCCATACTCATTCCATCCCCAAGACATGGCCTCACAGGTCTGTTCTGAGCAAAACCCTCTGCATTCTCTTACTCAAGTCTTAGAGATAAAAGGGGCTTCCTTGGGTTTTACTTATAAGGGATGGTGAGAGAATCATAGCGTCACAGGAATGTGTTGGTAACCTCACTATGGTTTACCTTATTCTCAAGAGTAGAGTGATAAGTGGTGTTCAGTCAATTATTGGGGGTGGATGGCTTTGGGATAGTGAGAAAATGAGAAAGATTATTTTTCTAAGAAAAATTTTATTTCTTTTCCATGGCTGGTGTTTGGAAAAAATAGATAATAAAATTACTTGTTTTAAATTATTATTTGATATAGAGTCTCACTCTGTCACCCAGGCTAGAGTGCAGTGGTGCAATCTCGGCTCACTACAACCTCCGACTCCCAGGTTCAAGTGATTCTTCTGCTTCAGCCTTCAGAATAGCTGGGACAACGGGCATGCACCATCACACCCAGCTAATTTTTTTTTTTTAATTTTTTAGCAGAGATGGAGTTTTACCATATTGACCAAGCTGGTCTCAAACGCCTGACCGTGATCCACTGGCCTCAGCCTCCCAAAGTGCTGGGATTACAGTTGTGAGCCACCACGTCTGGCCTTTGTTTTAAATTATTAAGTGTACTCTGTGTATGTGTATTGATTTAGATGCTTGTCTGATTTGTGAAAGAAAAATAATTTGCCTTAATTGTTAAGACACTCAAATTTGGAGCCCTGAGTTGCCATTTAAGATGTCTGACTAACTGAAGATACCATTCTCTATCAAAGCTTATGACATGTGGAGAGATCATATGCAAGGGCTCTGGTTTCTAAACAACAACTAACACTAACCACTAGACATATAAAGAAGGAAGGAAGCCACATTATTATATACTTCCCAGTTATTGCAGTATGCTGAACAATTCAGTCTTCTCAGCTGAAAAACAAATACCATGGGGCAAAGGAAAAAGCCATTGCTGCTGGGTCTTGCCTGAATTCCTGATGCATAGAATATGTGAATATAATAAAATAACATAGTTGTTTTGAGCCATTAAATATAAATTCATTTGTTATGTAGTATTAGTAGTTGGACTAGAGAGTCAGGCAATGCAAGAGATTAGTAACAATTAATAACAATATTTATGAGATCAACAAATATAGTGCCAGAGTAAAAATATCACAATGGGTACAAATTACAAAAAAAAAAAAAACTTGAAAATATGATATTTTTAAGAACTCAACTATGGAAGATTAAATAACCAAAAAAAGGATATTGTATGTCAATTTATGCCTTAAAAATTTTCCAATTATATGTTATTCAAATTAAAAAAAATGCTCTTTGGGAGATTCAGCAAGTGACATGTTCTTTCAATTAGAATGAAAATAAGACATCCATCTTTACACACACTGCATTGGAATTGCTAGATATAAATTATTGAATTCAATATAGCCCTTTGTCAGATAGGTGGATTGCAAAAGTTATTTCCCATTTTGTTGGTTGCTGGGTCACTCTAGTGATAGTTCTTTTGCTGTGCAGAAGCTCAAGTTTAATTCGATTCCATTTGTCTATTTTGACTTTTGTTGCCATTGTTTTTGGTATTTTAGTCTTTTTTTTTTTAATTTATTAAAACTAGCTTCAACTTTGTTAAAGAAAAACAAACAACTATGTTTTAGGAGAACTGCAGGGCCTTCAGTTGAAGATTGAATTCACAGTGTTGTATCCCATGTAGGGAAAAATAAGACTAATTTTCCCCCCACACTCTAAGACACTGTAATTTTGCTCTTGGAACTTTACTAATCTACTCTCCAACCTCCTTCTCAACAAAGTCAAATCAAAGGAGAATTAACCTAGAAGAGGGGACAATAAAGTAAGAGGTCCTCAGGGAGAGGGAGAACCAAGGAAATAGAATCTCCTTCAGTCTGGCCAGATAGCACCTCGTAGATTCCTCTCAGTCTAGTTCAAGTCAGAAATTGGGGAGTCCCCTGGGTAGGGTACAAACATAATGGTTAAATTTGCTAACTTGTGTACAAAATTAGGAATCCAATATATGCTGAAATCAAGAAGAAACTGAGAAGGATCAAAAAACAAAGTCAAGAAACACTGATTGGGTGGGTCTTTTTTCTTTTTGGACACGTTATGAAGAAATATAACATAGGTCAGAATAAGAAAACTGAACAGCCTGCCACATTAAAATGATGAACAAAGACAATCTGGCCCAGTTTTTCCTAGAAATTTCATTCTCCTTAAGGTGTGGGATGAGAGACACACCTTAGTGTGTCTTAATTCCCCTAGTGGAATTAAGTCCTACTTCTCTCTACATCCTTGCTGCAACGAAGTTTACAGCAGGTTCCCTTATAGAGAGCCCACTCTCCTAAGCAGATGGAGTTACAAATGAAAACCCATAGCCACACACACACACACACAAAAGGAGAAATAAGAGCAGCAAGATCATCCAAGAATACTCCATGTGCTGCCAGAAGAATTCCTTTAAAAGTAAAATCCAGGAAGCACAGATCAATATCTCACAAAAAGCTTTAGCAGTGGGAGGCCCCTGAAGAACTTTTCTTCTCTTCCCACAATGGTATCCCATTCTCTCTCATGCTCCACTGATGGGCCGGCCACACACCCTACATACCTTGGCTTCTCCTCTAAAAGTGCTAATAATCTGGGGACATATTCTCTTCAATGATAAAAGTCCCTACCTTCTAGGAGATTAGACCCCTACTTGTTTTCACAAAATAGTCCTGAAGACTAAAGAAAGGCAATTCCTATATATTTGAGACCAGAGGTCTTGGCTCTATTTTCCTTTCAGGTAGTTAATAGGGATCTTACACTGAGACGAAAGTGGCCTGAGAGTGCTAGCCTGATATTTTAACAAAACAGGGGAGGGGAGAGGACCAAGATGGCACACATACAAATCTATTTTTACAAAGTGAATGGAGAAGGTCATTAGGTACATCTGTTTGTTTCAAGATGTAGACATTTGCCAGCCAAAGGAAGCACCTATTTCCACTCTCCCCCTATCCTCCCTAAGTCTCTACTCAAGAGCTCAGCTAGAAGGAAGAAACCCAATGAAGGAATACTTGAGAAGTGATGTGATACAAGGACATCTGTACAGGTTTTGGCATGCCATCCCAAATGCTAACTGCTTTTGTTTACAGCTGTAACTTGTTCTGAAACCAACTACCCCCATTTTCTTTTCTAAAGATTTTGTTTTTTTTTGAGGGGTAGAGAAACAAATTCAGTTACCCATTAACTAAGAAAACAATCACAGTCAAACATCCCTTCCCACGTGGCTATATCACAGAATAGTTTCAAGAAAACAACTATCTTTTCAGACAGTTATCTACCAACTGTCCGATGTCTTTTCTACTCTGTGAAGATGACTTGCCACATCGCTTCACTTGTCATTACTTATCTGGTCCTAAAGCTCATGGTGAGGTTTTTGGTTTTATTTTCGGGTAAAAACCACTATACCCACTACAAGGAGGGCGTCCCAGGGAGAGGAGAGTGCCATGCAGGCACAGCTCTGAAGGAAGGGGTTGCTGCATCTTCCACGTGTCTAATGAAGAAAGCCCTTTTACCCCATTAACATAGGCAAATGTATAGAAACAGACACCTGAAACTTCTTAATCTGCCATCCTATAGATTTAGCTTGAGAGTCCATTTCCCAAAAAAGGGGAAAGAAATCCCAATCACCCTCCATAACTCACAATTAGCTGAATGGAAGTCTTTTTGTGAAATCAGAGTGATGAAAACAAAGTCAAGGGTGTATGAAAGGGTATTATCAGCGAGTGATAACATATGTGAGGACAAAAGTCACATATACAGGTCTCTGCCACTGTCTGGAATAGCATGCTACAACTATCTGAAGACAGGGCTGTTACCAGCACAGCTATTTCCTACACGTCCGGTGAGGCGTTTGCTTCTTCTGGATCTCCAACCTGCATCTGTTACGCTTATCCAACCAGCGTTTAGCTCAAAAGTCTGTGGAGTTAATTTTGGTAATGGTTGTCCAAATGCTGCAACAGGCAAGAAGGGGGTAGTCATCAAACTTTCAACATGATCTGGCTCAGGGAAAAATTAGGTAACCTCAGGCTCAGATTCCTGAATTCCTTTCCTTTTATACATTCTGAACTGCAGTCGCTGTAAAATTCTTTGTTCCCTGATCCTCTGAATATCCCATCTTTTCCTTCTCTTCTCATCCAGCTCCAGTTTTGCATGCCGCTTTGAAAACACACTGTCATCCAGGTTCTCCAAAAGGTCTGAAGGATTTGGGTCCCTTAGAGGCTCTACTGAGTGGTCCCTCCAAGAAGGAATTGCTACAGTATCCTCCTTCTTTGGAGAGGATTCCCATAATGGTAACCGTGATGGGGGAGGCTGGTGCCAACGACACAAATACATTTCTATGGGGGAAAGGTACGGCAAATCTTCTGTCTCGCTTGAGAAGGCTTTCTCCTCGGGATGGGCGCTGGGTCCCTTTTGGGGAGTGGAGAGTCTTCGTGGGGTGTCCACTGAAGACCAGGGCTTTTCTGGGGTTTCTTGGCTCCTCAATTCACGTTTACAGTTTCAGATAAGGAACCACAAGGTTCCTCTTTAATAGGTGAGTGCTTAGGAGTTTTTGTTTTGACTTTTGAAAATTCAGGAGCCAGCTTTTTAACAGGAGTCTTTCCTTCTGTACTTCCAAATGGGGATTTCCTTTTGTGTCCCTTTCCACTCCGCCCACATGAGAAAGGCTTGGGAGGCAAAGTCTGGGATGTCTCGGAAAGCTCCGGCTGGCACTCCAGTTTAATTTTCTCAGATAGCTCTGTTTCCTCTCTCTCTTCAGTTTCATAGCCCTGAAACAGCTTGTGCCTTTCTTTCTCATTATCCTTCTTTACCAGCTGCATCCGCCTTTCCATACGTTCAATCCGAGCAAGGAGCGTGTCTCTCTCAGACTTCAGCTCCTCTATCTCCTTTTCCTTGGCCTGCAGCTGTTGCTGTTCGATAAGGTCCAATTGCAGCAGAAGGACCTGTTTGAAGCAGGCGGCCTGACTGGAGGCTCCTGAGCCACCGCCACCCCGGAGAGGGCTCTTCCTCATACTCTTCCAACTGCCCTCGCTGGCCGCCAGGTTCCCAGCGGTGGCGGTGGGCGCGAGGGGTGGCGGCCCGGGCAGAGGTAGTGGTGGGGGTCAGCCCGGGTCCGAGGCGGTGGCAGCGGGGGAGGCCGCCCCACCCTTGTCCCCCGCCCAGGGCGTAGGCTTTTTGGCCGCCGCCACGAGAGAGCCCGTCTGAATGGGTAGCACCGCCTGATACTTGGGCCGGGGGCTGCGGCCGGCTCCGGCGGCGGCGGCAGGCTCCCCGCCAATGCCGGCTTGCTTGGTGGCTGGCGGCAGACAGGGCAAGGGCACTGAACCGTCCCAGCTCTCTTCCTGCTGCCCCGGGGCCGCCCCGGCCGGGAGTAACAAGCCCCGGCCCTTGCCGCCGCAGCCGGCTGGGGAAAGCGCGGGGCTCCGGCCCTGGGAGGAGGCCAGCAGGGGCCCGGCTCCTTGAGCTTACGGTGCCCGGGGAGGAAGTGGGCCTCGGCCGCCCCGGGCTAGTCCTCGGGCCCGCCCAGAGCCGCAGCCCGCTCGTAGTCCAGTCGCTGCTCAGGGTTGTCGCGGGCAGGGGCCGCGGCAGCCTTGAACACCGCGGATCTCCTGGTCATAGTGGTCCCGAGCAGCGCCGGGCACCGAGGCGGAGGAGGGGGTGGGGAAGGGGCGAGGTGCCGGGGTTTGAGGACGGAGCTGGGGAGGGGAGTTTGGCGGGCTAGCCTCAGCAGCACAGCAGCAGGCCTCCGCTAGGGCGGCTCCTCTGCGGCCCGGGCGCCATCCCGCCGGCGTGCGGAGACGTGGAGGCCGCGGCTGAGGCCCGCCGCCGGCCCATCGGGCCTCGCCGCCGCCTCTGCTGCCGCCGCCGCCTTCCCCTCAGAGGCAGGAGCTCGCACCCAGCCGCCCCCGAGCTCATCCCCGGAGCTCGCCTCGGTTCCCCCTGGCCCGGCCGGGCCCGCCTAATCTCCCCACCCTGCACCCCCATTCCTCATCCCGGCTCCCCCGCCCCGGAGCTCGCCTCAGCCGCCCCGAGCCTCCATTTCCCCCGCGGTATTTTAGTCGAAGTCCTTCTCTATGCCTCTGTCCTGAATGGTATTGCCTAGGTTGTCTTCTAGGGTTTTTATGGTGTTAAGTCTTATGTTTAAATCCTTAATCCATCTGGAGTTAATTTTTTATAAACTGTAAGGAAGGGGTCCAGTTTCAGCTTTCTGCATAAGGCTAGCCAGTTTTTCCAACACCGTTTATTGAACAGGGAATCCTTTCCCCATTGCTTGTGTCTGGTTTGTCAAAGATCAGATGATTGTAGATGTGTGATGTTACTTCCAAGGCCTCTGGTCTGTTCCATTGGTCCATATCTCTGTTTTGGTACCAGTACCATGCTCTTTTGATTACTGTAGCCTTGTATTATAGTTTGAAGTCAGGTAGTGTGATGCCTCCAGCTTCGTTCTTTTTGCTTGGGATTTTCTTGGCCATGCAGGCTCTGTTTTGGTTCCATATGAAGTTTAAGGTGTTTTTTTCCAGTTCTGTGAAGAAGGTCAATGGTAATTTGATGGGGATAGCACTGGATCTACAAATTGTTTTGGGCAGTATGGCCGTTTTTCACAATATTGATTCTTCCTAATCATGAGCATGGAATATTTTCCCATCTGTTTTTGTCCTCTCTTATTTCCTTGAGCAGTGGTTTGTAATTCTTGAAAAGGTCATTTACGTTCTTTGTTAGCTGTATTCCTAGGTATATTATTATCTTTGTGGCAATTGTGAATGGGAGTTGGCTCATGATTTCGCTCTCTGTCTGTAATTGGTATATAGTAATGCTTGTGATTTTTGCACATTGATTTTATATCCTGAGACTTTGCTGAAGTTGCTTATCATCTTAAGGAGATTTTGGGCTGAGATGATGTGGTCTTCTAAATATACAAGCATGTTGTCTGCAAATAGAGACAATTTGACTTCCTCTTTTCCTAATTGAATACACTTTATTTCTTTTTCTTGCATGATTGCTCTGGCTAGAACTTCAAATACTATGTTCAGTACGAATGGTGAGAGAGGGCACCCTTGTCTAGTGCCAGTTTTTAAAGGGAATGCTTCAAGTTTTTGCCCATTCAGCATGGTATTGGCTGTGGGTTTGTTATAAATAGCTTTTATTGTTTTGAGATATGTTCCATCAATACCTCATTTATTATGAGTTTTTAGCATAAGGGCTGTTGGATTTCGTCAAAGCCCTTCTCTATGTCTATTGAGTAATCACGTGGTTTTTGTCTTTGGTTCTGTTTATGTGATGGATTACGTTTGTAGATTTGCATATGTTGAACAAGCCTTGCATCCCCGGGATGAAATCTACTTGGTCATAATGGATAAGCTTTTTGAGGTGCTGTTGCATTTTATTTGCCAGTATTTTATTGAAGATTCTTGCATTCAAATTCATCATGGATATTGGCCTGAAACTTTCTTTTTTAGTTGTATCTCTGGCAGGTTTTGGTATCAGGATGATGTTGGTCTCATGAAATGAGTTAGGGAAGATTCCCTCTTTTTGTATTGTTTGGAAAAATTTAGGAAGGAATGGTACCAGCTCCTCTTTGTACGTCTGATAATGATGGACTGCCTTGGTAATGGCAGACTGCCTCAGTAATGGTGGACGCCCTTCTCCCAATGGAGCTTGACCGTCCGGCGTTGAGCTCAAACTGATCCACTGGCTGTAAAACTCTCAAGCCAGTGCATTTCAGATTGCTGGTCTTTGTCGGGTAGGGACCCACCAAGCCAGGTCACTTGGCTCCCTGCCTTCAGCCCCCTTCTTCAGGGGAATGTCAGCTCTGTCTTGCAGGCATTCCAGGAGCCAGTTAAAACAGCTTCCCCAGTTTGTGTGGATTTTTGTGCAGGAAACTCAACAGTGCTGACTGAAACAGCCATGCTGAAAACCCACAGCGTTTGTTGGCTGGCAGGAATTTCCTGGTCTGTGGGCCGTAAGGACCACGGGAGAAGTGCAGTACCTAAACCGGAGTGCCAGAGTGGCTTGAAAAGTCCCCAGTGGGCTCCGTTGGGTTGGGGGGAGTCTTCTGGTCCGTTGCATTTCCTGGGTGTGGCAGCACCCCATCCTGCCTTGACTCACCCTCCTTGGGCTACATCCACTGTCCAACCAGTCCCATTGAGATGCATTTGGTACCTTGGTTGGAAATGTGGAGATCGCATGCCCACTGCATTGCTCTTGCTGGGAACTGCACCCCGGAGCTGTTCCTATTCAGCCATCTTGGCAGAGCTCCTCACATGTTTCTTCTTCATTTAATGACTGCCTTTCCTCTGAGTAGATATCCATTAGTAGAATTGCTAGGTCAAATGGCAGCTATTTTTAATTCTTTAAGGAATGTCCACACTATTTTTCATAGTGGTTGTACTAGTTTACATTCCCATCAGCAGCATATATGTGTTTCCTTTTCACCACTTCCATGCTAATGTAATTTTTTTATATTGCCATTCTTGCAGGAATAAGGTGGTAACACGTTGCAGTTTTGATTTGTATTTCCCTGATCATTAGTAATGTGGAGCATATTTTCATGTTTCTGGGGCATTTGTATATCTTCTTTTGTGAGTCATCTGTTTATGTCCTTAGCCCACTTTATGATGGCTTTGTTTGTTCTTTCTTTCTGATTTATTTGAGTTCCTTACAGATTCTGGATTTTAGCCCTTTGTTAGATGCACAGTTTCAGAAGATTTTGTCCAACTCTATGGATCATCTGTTTACTCTGCTATTTCTTTGGCTGTGCAGATGCTTTTTAATTTAATTAAGTCCCATCTATTTATCTTTGTTTTTGTTGAATTTGCATCTAGGTTCTTGGTCATAAAGTGTTTCCCTAAGCCAATGTCCAGAAGGGTTTTCCAATGTTATCTTCTAGAATATTTGTTTTTATTTCTTAGATTTAAGTCTTTGATCTGTCTTGAGTTGATTTTTGTATAAGGTGAGAAATGAGTATCCAGTTTCCTTCTTCTATATGTGGGTTGGCAATTATCCCAGCATCATTTGTTAAATATGGTACCCTTTCTTCACTTTATACTTTTGTTTGCTTTGTCAAAGGTTATTTGACTGTAAATATTTGACTTTATTTCTGGTCTCTCTATTCTGTTCCATTGGCCTATGTGCCTATTTTTGTACCTGTACCATGCTATTTGGGTGACAATGGCTGAGACAGTCTGGCTGTGTCCCCACCCAAATCTTATGTTGAATTGTAGCTTGCACAATTTCCACACGTTGTGGGAGGGGCCCAGTGGTAGGTAATTGAATCATGGGGTGGGTCTTTCCTGTGCTGTTCTTGTGATAATGAATAAGTCTCATGAGATCTGATGGTTTTATAAGGGGAAGTTTCCCTGCACAAGCTCTCTGTTTTTGCCTGGTGCCATCCATGTAGGACGTGACTTGCTCCTTATTGCCTTCTGCCGTGATTGTGAGGCTTCTCCAGCCATGTGGAACTGTAAGTCCATTAAACCTCTTTCCTGTATAAATTACTCAGTCTTGAGTATGTTTTTATTAGCAGCATGAAAATGGACTAATACAATGGCTTTATAGTGTAGTTTGAAGTTGGGTAATGTAATGTCTCCGGATTTTTTTTTTAAAGCCATGCTTTGGCCATGTGGGCTCTTTTTTAATTCCATATGGATTTTAGGATTATTTTTTTCAGCTCTGAGAAGAATTCTAATGGTACTTAGATGGGAATTTCAATGAATTTGTAGATTGCTTCTGGGAACATGGTCATTTTTACAATATTGATTCTACCCATTCCTGAGTAGGGAATGTATTTCCATTTGTATGTGTCATCTATTTCTTTCAGCAATGTACTGTACTTTTCTTTGCAGAGGTCCTTCCCATCCTTAGTTAGGTATATTCCTAATTCTTTTATTATTTATTTATTTATTATTTATTTCAGCTATTGTAAATGGGGTTTAGTTCTTTTTATTTTTTGAGACTGAGTCTTGCTCTGTTGCCAGGCTGGAGTGCAGTGGTGCAATGTTGGCTTACTGCAACCTTCGCCTCCTGTGTTCAAGTGATTCTTCTACCTCAGCCTCCCTAGTAGCTGGGACCGCAGGCACGTGCCACCATGCCCAGCTAATTTTTGAGTTTTTAGTAGAGACAGGGTTTCACCATGTTGGCCAGGATGGTCTCGATCTCTTGACCTTGTGATCCACCCACCTCAGCCTCCCAAAGTGCTGGGATTATAGGCATGAGTTTAGTTCTTAATTTGATTCTCAGCTTGGTCGCTGTTGGTGTGTAGCAGTGCTACTGATTTGTATACATTAATTTTGTATCCTGAAAGTTTACTAAATTCATTCATCAGTTCTATGAGGTTTTTGGAGGAGTCTTTCAGGTTTTCTAGATATACAATCATATCATCATGAAACAGTAACAGATTGACTTTCTCTTTAACAATCTAATGCCCTTTATTTCTTTCTCTTGTCTGATTGCTCTAACTAGGATTTACAGTACAATGTTGAATAGAGGTAGTGAAAGTGGACATCTTTGTATTATTCCAGTTCTCGGATTGGGGGGGAGTTTTCAACTTTTTCTAATTCAGCATAATGTTGGCTGTGGATTTGTCATAAATGATTTTTATCACCTTAAGGTTAGTCTCTT